GAGTTTTCATAAAGGCGTGCCAGAGACTCGTCCCCATAGACAATGCTTAATTCATCCATATCATGTCCCACATCTCTGGGATTTTCTTCCACCATCTTAAAAATGATCTGGAGATTCCAAGCAAAAAAGTAAATGAGCATCAGAAAGAAGACAATCAAGCAGCTCATTCTAATTAAAGCATTTGGAAGTATGATCTAGCAAAACGAGATTCACAAGCTTCTTTTGCAAACATGGACATCAAGAAACCGAATCTTCACAAGTAACTTCGAAGTAGCAAAGGGACTGGGAATTGTTCAAGAAGTGATGCAGAAATCGACCACAAACAGGAAACCGAAACTCAATCCATGGAAGCAGCACTAAAACCCCGCATGTTTGATACAGCACTTGCTATGAATAATAAGACAGGTTAAGGAAAACATGCAGTTCCAAATTAAGGAAAAACAATATTAGTCCTTAAGAAATGAAGACGGAAATTACATCGAATTCACATGCGTCTAATAATAGTCCTGAGTGGTACCCCCTAAACAACCAACGGGATAGAAAATGGCACATACCTCATAAATGTCTTCCTTAAGCCGTGTACAAGACAAATTTACAGCCCCTAGAATGACCACATGTGGTTGGTGATCCATCATAAATCTGAGAACTCGTTGTTGATCATTCTTCTTTCTTTGTACGTCATCAACATTTTGCGAACGCAATGTAAGTGACCCAGTAGAAAGCACATCCAGCACTTCCCCTGAGGAATCTAGCATAACAAAAGTTGTTGCAGGCTTTCCAGGACCCCAACAGCATGCCATGACCCTCGGAGCAGCATCATCATCAGACGAGGGGTCACTTTCTTTTCTTTGATATGGGCCAACAGACACTTTATTCCACAAACCTTGCCCATATTCCCAAAGTAGCCAGCGCTTAGATTTGCTTGTCAGCAATGATCTCGCTTCTTTCTCCATCGAGGGCAAAAGAAACCCAAAAAGGGCATCCTGCACTATTAATTGCCTTTGCTCATTCCATAACTGGGCGGATTTACTGACCCCATCACTACAATAATGATCCTTGCATTCATTGACCAACAACTCCATACGTTTTTCTGGAAGCTTGACGGTCACTTGGAGAAGCTTCTCCTCTTCCGCCTTTTGTATAAGAAGCCATTGTGCATCTTTGAATTCACTAATTGGTTTTTCACGCAGCCATTTCACCCCATAAAACTGATGAAAAGAATCTATTGTTGTATTCCCATCAGGAGTTGGAGCGGTGGATATGACTGCATGCTCCATGTAAACACCACGGATGTGTTTTCTGACATATGGCTCGCAGCTTATCTCAACAGCAGCCTGAAAGCAAAGGAAAAGAAATGAAAACGCAAGGTTCTAACACATCTTATAATAGAGATCATATTCAATCTTGAGTTGCTAAAAGCTCCCCGCCCTAAGATACAATGGACAAAGGAGCTGGCGCCCAGAGCTTAGCAGCACTCAGCTATTGGACATAAAAACATCATCCATACCATGTGCCTGGCCCCTTTAAGAACAGCTTGTGGAGTTTCAAACATTGCACATGTAAAGTTTGAAGCCATCTCTTCAGGTGTTTCCTTGGGATCCTCCAAAGCTGAGCTCTGTAGCAAAGAGAGAGAGAGAGAGTGGAACAAAAAATCAATATCGGAGTAACTCTTAAGTCTTCATGGTCAATTTTTCCACAAAATTCAGTCTCCTTATATTAAGTTGATATACAATAAGAAAAAGCGAGCTCACCATCGCTAACAATGACAAGGTTAGGCCGAGCTGCTCCGCGCTAGGGCCAAACTTGCTAGCAACTTCCCATAGACCAGCTTTGTTACAGATACTGTATTGTGATCTTCTTTTAGGCCTCTTATACTGCCCTTCATCCACACCTACCTCACCTGGAGGAAAATGCAGGTTAAACTTCGCATCAACATCGTCGACCTCCCGTTCTGATTCTGCAGCCTCCAGCGCCTTGATAATAGACTTGAAAAGGTGGTGGTTCAAATTAAGTCTTGTCTCATCATAAATGCGCCTAGATTCTTCGTCAAATCGCTTCTCGTAGTATAAGTGGAGAGCACTTTTTCTCTTCTGCAGGAGTAGCCACTTCCTGTCTAAGTCCTGAATTGCCCAAAGCACCTACAGAGAAGTAATGTTTAAGTCAGCGGAGAAGATCCTGCTTGTGCTCTTAATGTGTTAGCCTTCACCCAGAGGATGGGGAAAATGTTGAATTCCTTACCTTGTGCCACTTCAATTTTGGTGATTGGTCATTATCCTGATTATCATAGTCATTCTCAAGTTGCCCAGGGTCTTTCAACAGGCTAAAGCAGTCTTCCTTCCTGTATGTGGCAATGAAAGGAACCTAGAAGCACCAGTAGCAGATGTTGTGAGGTGAACTCAAATTGAACAGAAGATTGAAATATCACTGAGATCAAGAATACTAACATCTAACTTCTGCACATGATGTAGCTCCAAAAACTGGACGATATCATCTTTATTGACGGTTACACCCAGCAGAGATGTTGCGCCACTTGCTAGCTGATTATATATCCAGGTGCTCTCATCATCAATGAGGACTTCATCAGTTGGAGGAGAACCAGTACTCTCCTCAGATATCTACAGGATATAACAGCAATAGCAACATGAGTGGCGGATCCTCAATAACAAAAGAATGATAGAAAGAAACCAGATACATGTACATTCCAATGACCTGCATTCTTTCAGGAATATCACTGAGTCGAACTTGCTCATCTTTCTGAGTCATATATTTCTCAGAAAGTACGGAGGGTTCAAATTCATCTTCCAATCTCCTTTCCCTCCATTCATTATTTGAATCTAATCCTTGTTGCTTACGCAATTTTATGAGCTCGTCCACATCACCAAATATTTCATGAGCTTCCTGCAAAGCAGAAGATGAAGCTCCAGATGCTTGCCTTGACTTCTTTTTCTTCACCTTCTTATGTCTACAAATTAAGCACACCAGTTCACAAACTTAACACTCTAAAAAGGGGCAACATATGGCATATGTGCTCGATTTATAGGAGTTACATACCTCACAGGAACTCCATGCTCATCGAGTTCTTCTTCCTCCACAATGAAATCTGCCATATCATCATCTTCTCCAACTTCAACTTCCTCCTCCTCTTCAATCTGTTCCTCTTCTTCAGCAACATCCTCAAATCGTTGTCCTGAAAGACACAGTTGGGTTTGATTCTATTGGGAGACGCTGTAACTAACCAACTTCAACCACCTCCAGGGCTCGAAGCAATTTTATGCCACTTACCTTCATCATCGTCAAACAAGGTGCGACTCAGTTTTTCTTCACGCCCACCCTTACCAGATCCATCCCCCTCCGCAAAAACCCCATCACCATCATCATCTGCGTCCCGTCGAGCCTTTTTAAGCCTCTTGAACTTCTTAGTATCCTGAGGTTTTCCAGGCAAACAGAAACAGGCAAATCCCAAGTACAATCAAATTAGCAAATTTAGAAGGAGAGATAACAAATTGCATTCCATATCAGAGGAAAAGGAGCACAAGACATGTCACAACCTTGGGTCTCTGAGGGTAAACGTTGTTGTCCCTTAGGAGTTCGTAATCATCTTCATCTAGAACCTCAGCTTCCCTGTTTGAACACCGCAGAAAGAAAAAGATGAGCCATAGAAACAACAAGCAAGTAGTAACGCGAAGAAGATAATGGGATTACTCACCTCTTCTTCTTTCTCTTCTTCTTCCTCTGCCTTTCTTCGTCACTATCCGCCCTCCCTTCTTCCTCGGGCTCTTGCTCATCTTCCTCGATATCGTCCACTATGAAATCATCCTTTTCGTACTCATCCTGCCCTTCTTCTGCACAAAACCCCCCCAAGTTCCATGCAAAAACTAAACACGTCAAAAAAGTGGCCAAGAAAAAAAAAACTTTCACCCCGGTCGAACAAAGCCAATATTGCTCGAGCAGCAAAAACCCTAGAAAATTATCGCCACAGCAGGAAAACAACACTTCCGCCGCGGACAAAACCGAAAGAGAAGAAGAGAAGTTCAGAAATTTGAGTGATTCGTACCGTCGTCTTCCTCCTCGTCATCTTCAACTGCATCTGCAGGTTCATTCTCTTCCTCGTCGAGCTCCACATCTTCTGCAATAGAAGAGGGGCAAAATTCGAATTCAACCAAATGTAGAAGCGAGGCCGCGAAAGGGAGGCAAATTAGGGTTCCAGGGAGGCATTTGCTTACCTTCTTCGTCAGAGACGACGTTTCTCACCATGGCGAGCAGGGAATTAGGGATATTTCTTCTGCCAAGCTTGAGTGGAGGAAGGGGATTTATGGGTGCGGGAGATTGGAGAAGTTCAGCAGAGCGAGCTGTTGAGAGACTTGGAAGAGCATTTTATAGTGTTGGTGGATATAATAAATAACAATTACGGGACGGGTTCAGTTATAATCATGGTAAAGGAGATCGTACCACACATCATATCGGATTCCTTTCTGGTAGGGTATTTTGTGGTACGACCGTGATTCAATCGTTTCATATCGGTAAATATCGTTTTAGTAATAAAAATTATTTTTTTTTTAAAAAGAATGTGCCGGCAAAATCAAGATACCGTTTCGGAGTAATACCAGATGTATCGGAATATGCCAGACAATTTTTCAGCAATTTGAAAATGAGCACCAAATCATATACATGTTGAAGAGAATTTTATTGGAAGAATATAAATTTATTGATCAACGATTTACTAACCCTTTATTAAGGAGGGATAACTAATTCTCGTCCTAACTTTTATTTTAACAAAACACAGTCTATGATTATTAACAGATAACTCGTGAAAAAGAAAATCATGATTAGTGTTTTATTGCATATGACAATGGTAACAGAAACAAACTCAAAGCACCCACAATCCCCTGCAAGTAATCTCACTTCACTGTTTCCGTCAACCCATTATGTCTCTTCAAAGCTAGCCGAAATCACCCCGCCCCTTATCTATACATATCAATTTCTATCCAAAATCAATTATATCAAACTAATCAATTTTCTTTTGCCCCAGCAAACCAACTAATCAATTGAGAAACCTGCAAAAGCGAAATGGAGATCAGAATTGAATGGGAGAAAGGATAGGCGTGTGATGGCGGGGAAGGGACAAACGAGGTTCCAGTGACGGGCATGTTGACTGATGATACACGTAGCGGGTAGAAGGAACAAACCTGGTTGGGTGATGGTGTCTCCGGAGATTGAAGAGCAGAAGGTCGCTGGCAGAGAATATATTGAGGTTGCTTATGGACGACCTCGGTGGAATCGGGAATGAAGACGACGACCACGACGACAAAGACGAACGGTCGGGGGAAGACGACGAGCAGGTGAGGAGAAGACGACCAACGATGAACATGGATCGCTGGCTGGGAGAAAAACATAGCAGAGGCAGATCGACAAACACGGCTTATGGCGACGACCTACACAGATCAGGGGGAAGAAAACGAAGAGTATATTTGCTGGGGCTAGTGTGGCGAGCTACTACCCCCGATAGGTGAGTCGATTCGGTAGCAGCAGAAGAGATGATATCTCAATTAGGATTAGATCAGAACCGACGGCATGATCAGAACCGTCCGGTATTTCGCGGCAGGCCGATTCCACCGCAAATATCGGCCGGCACGGTAATCTGCCCATGTTTAGCTTGTCGTTTCGAATCTAGCCCGATTTTTGATTTTATTGGTTCAACCGACCGGTCCGGTATCCTAGACCATGGTTATAATGCAGGATCATTTACGAGCCGTCCGATGTTTTTGGAAAAGATGTGGACCGTTTGATTCAGATTTGGAGGAGGGACAGATCTAGGGGTGGGAAACCGGACGGGATTGGGTACCGTCCCGTTTGAAACAGGTACCCAATTCCATTTGAAGATCAAAGTTCATCCCATATCCCATACTCGGACAGGAAACGGGTACCCGTTAACCCATATGGGACGGATAAGGGGTATCCGAACTACCCGTTTATACCCGTTCAATATGGGAACAATTACAAAATCAACTGGAACAAAATACTAAAATTAAACTTCAATTAAACTGCCCACATGAAAAGAAAGTTGTTGTCTCCATAATTAACAACATCAAAATGAAGGATATTGTCCCCAACTCTCTTAATAACCCACCGCCAACATGAAAAGATAATCCAAGCTACTGTCTCCATAATAACATGATGAAAATTAAGGATGCCCCCTTGAGAACCCACTGTCAACGTGATTCCAAGAAATGGAATTGGCACATTCAACCACATTCAACAACATGAAAAGTAGGGCTGGAGGTTCGGTCATCGGTTGCCGGTTAACCGACCGATTAAACGATAACAGGCGCTTACCGGTTAACCGACTAACCGAAAATTAAGGGCGCAGGCGGTGTTCGGTAGCGGGGTTGGAGAGTCCAGTTAACCGGCTAACCGACAGTAATACCCGCCGGTTAAACTGGCTAACTAGCGCATCCTAACCTTAGCAAAAACGACGCAGGTCCAGTGTCCACGTTCCCTAACCCTAATCCTCCTAAATTGAATAATCGATCTGCCATTCCTCTGCTGCTTTGCATTGCGACTCGCGAGACGGCGAGACCACCCCCATCGCGCGCTCTCCCTGCTGCCGCCGCGACTCTCCCTGCTGCCGCCGCCTACCCTCACTCTCCCTGCCGCCTGCCCGACGCCGCCGCCATCTCCCTCCTCGACGCCAGCCGCTCTCAGTCTCTGCCATCTCCCTCCATGACGCCGCCGCTGCCATCTGCCTCCACAAGACCAGGACGCCGCCATCTGGCCTCCACGACGCCGCCGCTGCCATCTGCCTCCATGAGACCACGACACCACCATCTATCTCGGTTTGTGTTATGTGTTGCGGTTAACTCGGTTAACCAAGAAACTAACCGGTAACCGACCAATCGGTTGTCGGTTAACCGATGGTTTCCGTCGGGTGATTGGCGGTAGATGCTGCTGTCGTCGCGGTTAACCGGTAACCGACATTTTGGTTATCGATTATAACCGATCTAACCGAAAATCCCGTCCTAATGAAAAGATAAAGAAAGCTACTGCCTCCCAAATTAACTTGTGCACATTCAAGAACATGAAATTGGCAGCTGTAGAGCAGCAGGCAGCAGCTGCAGCCTAGTTCCATGGAGAGGAGAGTAATCCCTTTAGGGTCGAGTGAGGGAGTGGTAAGTGAGAGGGCCTGGCGGCCTAGTCTGGATGAAGAAATGGGCTGGACTGTGACTAGGCTTGGGCTGGTTTTTAATTTGGTTAAATGAATTTAATAATTTTAATGGGCAATACGGGTACCCAAACTACCCAAACGCGTATTAGCGGGTAACCCGCGGGTACCCGAAGTTGAGATTCTTAAACCCAAATCCCATCCCGCAACAAATATAACAGGTATTTGGGTACCCGTAACCCTTCAAAAACGGGACGGGTTTGGGTATACCAAAATACCCGTTTCCCGTTGCCCACCCCTAGACAGATCAGCTTTTTCACGAACTCGGAATTCATATGGAGGATCACCTACACAACCCCACATAATGGAACATTAGTACATAAAAGCCAAAAGGTCACGTAGCCCAACTGGTGTGAGTGCGGAGAAAAGTGATGACTTAAGAGGGGCAACTCTCAGGTTCCATCTTCCAAGTCATCAAGTATGTGAACCCCCAGGTTTACTAGACCCCGCTGTCACAAAGTTGCACATGGGAGTTAAGATTCCTGGGTCATAAAAAAACATTAGTTATATAATGAAAACTACAGAAAGAAAGGTTTCCATTGAAGAGAGAAGTTGTTTTTTTGCTCTCTTCTCTCTCCTGGCCCACTTTCTTCTTCTGCTCATTGGTGGTAAACCTTCGCCTGCTGGGGAGGACCACTACTTGAAGCCACCGAATGACTCCCAAGTTTCTTCGTCGGCACAGCCAAGTAAGAAGGCAAAGGCGAGCATGGTCGAGAGAATCCCTGAAGAGGGCGAGAGAGAGTTTGCGATAGTCACATCAAGAGCGACTGGTACAGAGAGTTACGTCGAAGAACAAGCCAGAAGGGATGAGCATTCAGCATCGGAAAGGAAGACAGAAGCGGAAAGAGTTAAGGTCTCTTACAAAGATTCATTCTTGAGGAATAGCTCGCCAGTCGACATCTCGGAGGGCAACGAGCTTATGTCAGATTAATCTGATGAAGATAACGATGAGGATGACCTAGATTGTCCGACGATTCGAATGAGGAAGAGGACCAATGAGAAAATTTGTAATTGTTGGAATCGGGCAATCACCTTTCTAGTGTTGGGAAAGACTTTCCCATTTGCCTTCATCAACCTGAGACTCCAGCGGATGTGGGCAAAGACTGGAGGAATCAAGATCAGAGATATTGGGAACAGATACTATCAGGCAATCTTCGATTCACAGTTGGACCTAGTCAGGGCTTTGTATGGGGGGCCTTGGACAATTAAAGACCATTACATTACCTCAAAGCCATGGAGATTGCATTTTGACCTGGACTTTGACTCCATCAACAGAACCGTGGTCTGGGTAAGACTCCCTCTCCTCCCTTTTGCGTATTTTGATGAAAACATCTTGCTGGATATTGGGAATAAGCTTGGGAGAGTTGAGAAGATAGACTATAATACAACTAATGAATTTAGAGGGAACTATGCGCGTATTTGTGTGGAAATTGATCTTCGCAAGAGGCTTATTTCAAAATACATAATCAAAAGAAGAGTTAGACGGGTGGAATATGAGGGCCTTCACACTACCTGTTTTGAGTGTGGTCATTATGGACATACCGAAGAAAATGTCCAGAGAAACTTAGTCAGGAGAAATCTTCACCAGCAGATAAAACCAAGGAGAAACATCCAAAAGGAACCAAGCCATGATATCAGACCAGAGATTCTTGAAGATTTTGGGTCATGGATGCTTGCTACGAAGCCAAAATGAAGATCGAAGCAGCAACAGAACATAGCATAAATGAGGTGGATTATGGTAAAAATGATGAAACCACACCCTTGAAAGAAGCAAATACAAGATCAAGATTCACTGTCCTGACTCACGATGAGTCGATGACAAAGAAGATGAATTATGGTGGAGGAAGTGGAGTAGACTCAATCTGAAAAGATCCAAAGAGATGGTGTCACAGATACTCAATGTAAAACACCTAAGGCTGAGAGTAAGAAGAAGGAAAGTTCAAAGGGTAAATCAAAGGAGAAAAACCACAAAGGGGAAGTAAGAAAGGAAACTCAGGAAGCAAAAGCCACTAGGAGAAACAAACAACTGCGAAAAACCAGAAGGCTACCCCAGATACCAGCATCCACAAATCCAAACCTAGCAGCACACCCACGAAGTCAGAGCTACTGAAATATGAAAGCAAGAACTAAGCTAAGGATAATCAGTCGCCTGGACAGGTTAGTCGTGGGGAAAGAGCTAACGGAGCACAGGGGTCAAAAACCGTAGCTCAAAGCAAGGCAGGGGGAGATAGAGGCCAATCATCAGGAGCAATCCTAGGCCATCAACCAAAGATGAAGAAGCTAATGGGAAGGAAGGAAACCACCCTCAACCTGAAAGAGAATGCCAACGACTAGGAAAATGAAGGCAACCAACCAAGAAAGATTGAATTCGACTCTAACTTGGGAGGAAGCCAATGCAGGCCAGAAAATGCCTAGGATATAATGGACACAACCCAAGAGGTTGAGCCAGAGACCCTTAAGACGATTATGGATGTCGATTATTGAAGATCCAATAACCAATTGGTCAAGTAGGGAAGTCTCTCAATCATCTCTATGGTTAAGTTCTTTACTTGGAATTATAGGGATGCTAAACACCACAAATTTATTTCTACGTGTGACTTTTACAAAGCTAATTATGCACCAGATGTGTTGTGCATTCTTGAGCCTAGAATTAGTGGTGAGGATGCCACGAAAGTTATCAAATCGCTTGGTTTTGATGGTTGGGAAGTTTCTGATGTTGTGGGATTCAGTGGGGGAATATGGACACTGTGGAATAAGAGTAAGTAGACGATGGAGGTTGTTGACATGCACAAGCAGTTTTTACACCTGAAATGCTCAATGGGAGGTAGGGAGAGTTGTCAAATAACTGTTGTCTACGCAAACCCGAATGAGCATGACAAAACTGATCTCTGGAATTCTATCAGAGGCATTGAAAGGAGAATGAATGTACCATGGCTGCTGACAGGTGATTTTAACTCCATCACGAAATCATCAGAGAAGCAGGGGGGAGCACCATCCAGTTATGCTAAGGTGAAAGCGTTCAATGATTGCATTGAGGACTGTGGCCTCATTGATCTGGGATTTACTGGACCTGAATTTACATGGTTCACCAGTAAATATCGGATCAAGGAGAGACTTGATAGGAGTCTTTGCAATCTGGAATGGCAACACCAATTCCCGATGACAAGTACGATCCATCTTTTGAAGCTTAAATATGACCACAGACCTATCCTGACGTGCACCACTGCTCGAAGGGAGAAGGAAAAAATGGTGAGGAGATTCCAATTCCTCGTCTCCTGGCTTAATCACACTAATTTCTTTCCGCTTGTTAACTGCTCTTGGAATGCTGGTGGGGAGCTGCCTATTTCTTTGCAGGGACTTTCGCAATGTCTAGCAAAGTGGAACAAGGAGAATTTTGACAATATCTTTAGACGTAAACGTGACCTCCTAAACAAGTTGAAGTCTTTAGAGATGATCAACACAAGAAATTCATCCATTAGCTCCATTATTATAGAGGATAGGACTAGAGAAGAGCTCGAGAACACTCTATGGGAATAGGAGATGCTATGGATGCAAAAATCAGGAGCTAATTTTGTGATCCATGGGGACCAAAACTCACGGTTCTTCCATACAAGCACACACTCTCGCATAAAACACAACAGAATCCTCTGACTCAAGGATGCGCAAGGACAGTGGATTGAAGATCCTGACATGATTAAGGATATGGCTCGTGGTCCCTTCATTCTTTTGTTCACAAAGTGAGGCAAATAACCAAATCACCAATGCGGGTGCTGATTTCCCACTGTTGGATCCTGTTTGGACTGCACGAATGGGAGAAGCACCAAATGCTCTTGAAGTCAGAAGCATCATCATGGAGGGCCTCAAAGCACCGAGAAAAGATGGATTTCATGCTGTCTTTTTTCAAAAATGTTGGGATACTGTGGACAAGGATTTCACTGACTTCGTTGTCTCTTGTTTCAGGAACCCACATAAAATCGAGAGAGTGAATGAAACTCTTCTTGTTCTGATCCCTAAGATGGAGGCGCCCTCGACTATGAACCACTTCAATCTATTAGTCTTTGTAACATCGGGTACAAGGTGGTGGCAAAATGCCTTGCTAACAGCTTGAAAAGGCTCATGCCCCATTTCATCCATCCCAACCTGTCTAGTTTTGTTCCTAATCATCACATTTCTAACAACATAATCATCTTGCGGGAATCTGTCCACTCTATAGCAAAGAAAATATGGAAGAAAGGGTTTATGCTTCTTAAGATCGACCTTGCAAAGGCTTACAACAGAATCGAGTGGCGCTTCCTGGAGGATACCCTCAGAGCAACCCACCTCCCAGAGAGATTCATTGATCTTGTCATGACATGTGTTTCTTCAGCAACCTTTCAAGTTCTGTGGAATGGTGGAGAAACTGGAGCTTTCAAAACCTCTCGTGGTTTAAACAAGGATGTCCCCTTTCCCCTTATCTTTTCACTTTGTGTGTTGAAAGGTTAATCCATTGCATTGATAAGGAAGTTAAGGAAGGAAATTGGAAACCTTTGAGACTTTCACATAGAGGTCCTGAACTTTCTCATCACTTCTTCGCTGAT